AGTCAGCCACCAATTGTGCAAGTTCTCCCACTTAAAAAGATGAGAGAGGCCTGTAATTTTCATCCTAGGTACACTTCAACTATGAGAGACAGAATGGGGGGAAAGAATCCAGGAAATCACATTGTAGGATTTTTAATGAATTCATTGGTAAATTCCTCGGTAAAATAAGTATTTGGTCACCTGCAAACAAACAAGATTTCTGGCTCTCACAGACCTCTGTCCTCCACTCGTTAATGGCACTTGTTTGAACTCGTTATCAGTATAAAAGACACTTGTCCACAACCTCAAACAGTCACACTCCAAACTCCACTATGGCCAAGACCAAATAGCTGTCAAAGGACACCAGAAACAAAATTGTAGACCTGCACCAGGCTGGGAAGACTGAATCTGCAATAGGTAAGCAGCTTGGTGTGAAGAAATCAACTGTGGGAGCAATTATCAGAAAATGGAAGACATACAAGACCACTGATAATCTCCCTCGATCTGGGGCTCCACGCAAGATCTCACCCCGTGGGGTCAAAATGATCACAAGAACGGTGAGCAAAAATCCCAGAACCACACGGGAGGACCTAGTCAATGACCTGCAGAGAGCTGGGACCAAAGTAACAAAGGCTACCATCAGTAACACACTACGCCGCCAGGGACTCAAATCCTGCAGTGCCAGACGTGTCCCCCTGCTTAAGCCAGTATACATGTCCAGGCCTATCTGAAGTTTGCTAGAGAGCATTTAGATGATCCAGAAGAGGTTTGGGAGAATGTCATATGGTCAGATGAAACCAAAATAGAACTTTTTGGTAAAAACTCAACTAGACGTGTTTGGAGGAGAAAGAATGCTGAGTTGCATCCAAAGAACACCATACCTACTGTGAAACATGGGGGTGGAAACATCATGCTTTGGGGCTGTTTTTCTGCAAAGGGACCAGGACGACTGATCCGTGTAAAGGAAAGAATGAATGGGGCCATGTATCGTGAGATTTTGAGTGACAACCTCCTTCCATCAGCAAGGCCATTGAAGATGAAACGTGGCTGGGTCTTTCAGCATGACAATGATCCCAAACACACCGCCCGGGCAACGAAGGAGTGGCTTCGTAAGAAGCATTTCAAGGTCCTGGAGTGGCCTAGCCAGTCTCCAGATCTCAACCCCATAAAAAATCTTTGGAGGGAGTTGAAAGTCTGTGTTGCCCAGCGACAGCCCCAAAACATCACTGCTCTAGAGGAGATCTGCATGGAGGAATCGGCCAAAATACCAGCAACAGTGTGTGAAAACCTTGTGAAGACTTACAGAAAACGTTTGACCTCTGTCATTGCCAACAAAGGGTATATAACAAAGTATTGAGATGAACTTTTGTTATTGACCAAATACTTATTTCCCACCATAATTTGCAAATAAATTCTTTAAAAATCAGACAATGTGATTTTCTGGATTTTTTTTTTCTTCTCATTTTGTCTCCCAGTTGAGGTATACCTAGGATGAAATATACAGGCCTCTCTCATCTTTTTAAGTGGGAGAACTTGCACAATTGGTGGCTGACTAAATACTTTTTTGCCCCACTGTATTATTCCCTTTCAACATCCAGCTCTGTAAAACGTGAGGGCCTTTGATTGATTGATTGATTGAAACGTTTATTAACAGCTTGTATATTGGGTACAGTACAGTACAGCTCAAAACATACAATTGTTAAGGGGATGCAGACCAGAGAAAGACTTTCGTCTTGTTTACATCAGGGTCCCCCATTTCCAATTCATATCATTTAAGACATATAAGACATATTTGACATACAGATGGCTTATTTACAATTTACATACAGGTGGGTTTTTTTACATACAGATTGCTTGTTTACAATTTTCATTTTAGATTTCGTTCTAATACATCCTAACCGGACATTTAAGACATACCAAGTCTAAAGATATACAGTTAGTAACAGAGTCTAAAATGCGAGTATATACATAGATGGGGGGGGGGGAAGCTGTCCATTGAACGACAGGTTGAGATTTGTACCATTACCGGGGCCAGTTTTGCAATGCTCTCCCCCGAAGGTGCTCTTTAAGAGAGGTTTTGAAGGTAAGTATAGTTTTACTTTCCTTTACAGTTGTGGGAAGAGCGTTCCACCTTGATGTGGCATAATTGCGAAACGTGTATTCCCCCTTTTTTGTGCCAAATCTGGGTTTCACATGATTTGTGGAGCTCCCTCTGGTGTTATGGTCATGGTATTCCTTGACCTTTGGGAAGAATTTTGACATGTAGCCTACATGGGTACCATAGAGGTGTAGTGGATCTTGTAGACCAGGCCCATTGCAAGTAGCTGTACTCTGTCGTCTACTCTAAGCCATCCTAGGTTGTCAAAGTGGGCAGAGGTGAGGTGGGTTCTAGATGAAAGGTCAAGCAGTAGTCTGACCAGTTTATTTTGCGATGTTTGAATTTTTATTTTTAGCGCCTTGGAGGTGCTATGGTACCATGACGTGCAAGCATAGTCATAGTACCCTTGAATGAGTGCTCCTGCCAGAGTTTTCAGGGTGTTTTTGTTTACCAGAGAGGAGATCCGGTATAGGAATCTAGTTCTTTGATTGACTTTTTTTATTACATTGGATGCCATTTTGTCACAGGAGAGGTTTGCCTCAAGAATAGATCCTAGGTATGTAATTTCCTTCTTACTTGTGACAATAATGTCGCCCACTGCAACTGAGAAGTCGTCGGATTTGCTGAGATTATGTTTCGAACCGAAGAGAATGGACTCTGTTTTACCCAGGTGTAATGATAATTTATTATCGACGAGCCAGGTGCAGATTCTGCCGAGCTCGGAGCTGAGGGTTTTTTCAACCTGCAACCTGTTCCTGTCAGAGACCAGCAGGGCTGAGTCGTCCGCGAACAGGAACAAGTTGCAGTCACATGCTGATGACATGTCATTTGCATAAATTAGGAACAGTAACGGACCTAATATGCTTCGTTGTGGAACACCACAGCTCACTGGGAGGGGGGGGGACAGAGTACCGTTTACCTCCACCATCTGTTCTCTCCCCAGGTAGGATTGCATCCAGCTCACCGATAGTTTATCAAAACCAATTGCTTTTAGCTTGTCAATCAGAATGGGGTGATTGACAGTGTCGAAAGCCTTTTGTAGGTCCAGCATCACCATGCCGCAGTACTTGCCCTCGTCCACCTCTTGTTTGATGTGGTCGCTCAAATAAAGAAGGCATGTGTCAGTGGAGTGGGATGTTCTAAAGCCAGATTAAAATTCATAGATTAGTTTATTTTCCGCGAGGTACTTTTCGACCTGTTCATATACTATTTTTCCATGACTTTCGAGATGGAGGTAAGTATAGAAACAGGGCGGTAGTTGCCTGGGTCCAATTTGCTGCCCTTTTTGTGCAGGGGGGTTACTCTTGCAATTTTGAAGTCTTTGGGTACTTTTCCCTGTTTTATGGAGAGGTTAATTATGTGAGCTATGACTGGTGAGATGGCGGTTGCTGTGTCTCTGAGGAATTTGGAGGGGATATTGTCGTGGCCAGTGGCCTTGTTAGGTTGGAGGGCGCTCAGTTTAATGAGTACCTCTGCTGTTGTTACCCTTGCTAGACTGAAATCATCTTTGCGTACCCCTAGGTTTTTGTAGTAGGTCATGATGTGATCTACCCCAAAAAGCCCTGAGTGGGAGGGTAATTTATTTACAAGAGTTGTGGCTATGTTTGTGAAAAAAATGTTCAAGTACTTGGCCACATCCAGTTTGTCTGTGATGAGCCTGTTATCTGTCTTTATGTTTAAGTTAGAAAATCTCTTTTTGAGTTTTTTACTGCAGCCAAGCTGAGTAATTTCCAAAGTTCACGGGGTTTATTTTTGTTTTCCTCAGTTTTGACATTGATGAAATTCTTTTTGGCAGTTTTGATCATGGAGCTTACGTCATTTCTTAGTCTGTTTTCTTTCAATTTTTAGTTCACTGCTCGTGCTTTGGAAAGCATTGACTGACTTTTATGAAACTCAGAGCATTTTTTGTCTCTGGTTTTCATGGCGGTCAGTATGCCGGAGTGCATCCACGGCTCAGCGTGATTTTTTATCCTGGTTGTTCTTAGGGGGGCCAAATCATTGAGTATTGCAGTGAATTTGTTTTTGAAACCAAGCCATGTTTCTTCAACTTGTGTACCACTGAGCTCATCTGACCAGTCCAGGCTCTCCAGTTCTAGGTTAAAGGCCTCGCTAGAGTAGTTTTTGAGGTCTCTAGATATGACTGTTTTGTGACAGCCGGCCCTTTGTTTTAGCTTTTTGCGGGTACAGAATATCATATAATGATCAGTTAACCCGCATGCTATAACCCCTTTACTGGAGATCCTGGACTTGTCAGAGGTCAGAATGAGATCAATGGTAGTTTGTGTTGTTTCACATACCCGGGTGGGTGATTAGCTGGCTGAAGCCGTGCAGATCACAAATCCTACTGAAGGACTTGAAGACGGACGTGTCTTTACGTTGCATATCCGTGTTCCAGTCTCCAATAATAATTGTCTCTACATCCCCCACATTAACCAAACACCCATCTAATGTATCATAAAAGTCACTCTGTTCCGGTGGTCTATAGATCTCTACTTTAGCTCAAGCTCGCCACCTGCAGGAAGTGTGTCCAAAAAACACCCGGTTAATGGAGTTAAGTTCTTTATTGGAAACCCAGCCTTCAAACATCTTTTTAGCCATTCATTGTTACAGCAACAACAGCGACTCACTCCATGTACACTACAGCAGCGGTTCCCAAACCGAGGGAGGGAAAATAAACGACTATACATGTGATAATTTATTTTCTTAGAGCTTATTGTGAGAGCTGAGGTTACTGATGGAAAGGTTTTGGAACCGCTGCTCTAGTTGTGTGTTTAAGCCGCAGAGCAAGCAGCTAAGAGTTCAAAACAAACAGAAAAGACAAATAAGGGAAACGATAGAAAAATACATTTTGTTTCTTCTTTTGATTTCAATCTTAAAAAACGATGTCAGTGGAAAACGCTTACGAAAAGATGCAGAGCCGTACTCAAAGTGTTATTTTTTTTCTTCAGTCATTAATAAACAGCTTTCAAACCGTCAAAAACTGCCTCACAGGCTACAACCACATTAATACAGACTGCCAGAGAAAAACACAAACATGGTTTATCTTTTTATTGACGAATCCTGAGATTCGGTACTTCTTGCTAAATTCCACATAGTGTGAAATCAATATAAATACATTTTTTAAAAGATGGTGCATCTGGTGTGAGATATTTTGCAGTCGTGGTATCGTCGAGAGAGTAAGTGTTTCAAGGACAATACAATAAAAAAAATGAAGATGGCTAATTTGCCATTGATGTTAGAAGAAAAGATAAAGGTGAAAATCTAGCATCCAGACATTCACCCTAAATATAACGCTGGTGATCAGCCTACTCTTGATTCTCCAATCCAACTGCATGAAGTACTAGCAGCTTCTCATTCATTCAACAATAAACTCAAGAGTCCGTTTTTCAAGAATGATTTCCCCCCTACGTGAAAAGCACTTTAAGTTCTTAAAAACAACAAAGATGTTTATTGAAGATTAACAAAATGGAATCAATTGAAACATTTTAATAAACCGTATTGGATTGGCATAGGCTGATCTTAATGAAAAATAAGAACTGTAGGTTCGGTGCATCGGCTCAAAATATACCAATTGGAGCATCTCTTGTAAAATCCCAACGTCCCCCTCCAGTAGCAGTCTTTAGATCTGAAGAGAGAAAACAGAAATATTTCATTTTTATTATGGTCTTTCAAGTATTTTCTTTCTTGTGCCGTTAGCCATAAAACTTGTTCTGCAAGTAACACAGATCTATGAATATAGACCGTCTATTTACAGTGTGCTATTGCTACTTTAATACAAGTCAAGGTTGTCAATAGTCAATCAATTGATAATGATTTCCTTTCACTTTTGACAAAGTTCTTCTTTACGGCTGCTTGACAAGCATTTGACTTAAGGTTTTTAAAAAAAAACGAATAGTGTCACTATTAAACACCGCAGAGTAGTTCATTGTAAAATGAGATAAGCTTACATCATCAATGTCATCTTCATCGTCGCCAATGTCATCAAACTGGATCTCATCATCGTCTCCGGGCCCGAAGGTGTCCGTCTCGTTGATTTTGGCTGCGAGAAGGAAGATGGAGGGAAAGAGTTAGAAAGCAAATACAACACATGTTAACAGAGCAGATTGAACACTGAACATGATTTGTAAAAAAAAAAACACATAAAAATAAGTTTAAATAAAAGGTCCAGACAGTGAGAACCTCTGCTGTTTAAAGTCAGAAACTCGAAAAAGTGTTTCACCAATATAGCCGTTCTTTAAAATCGCAGCAGTCTGGTCAGCTTTAGGCACAGTTAACCTCAGGTTATAGGCACAACAATAGATACATAACCAACAGCTGTGGTTTTGGTTTGACTCACCATGCTCGGGCAGCTCTCCGTACGCTTTCAAACTGCGAGCCTCGTCTGCGTTGTACTTCAGAATGACGTCAGCTTTGTTGTCCTGAAACACAAAACGATGACGTAATGTTTAGGTTAAACATAAAAACCAAGTGCTTAAAATGAGCGACAAGACAGTAAGTACATTACTACGATATTAACGCTTAGGTAGAATACTCTTTTGTCAGTAAAAAAAAAAAAACGCCAAATGTAAATTAAACTCCAAGCACTATATACTATATAAGCACTATATACAGGGAGCAACTGGATTTTATATTTCTTTAAGATTAACTTAGACAAAAATCAAAAATGATATTCAACTGTAACCGTAATTTAGTAGCGGTTCCTTCATTAACTTTAGAACCCATAAAAGGTTAAATGCAGCAGAAATGTTAGTGTTTTATTATCCTAAAAGACAGCCATAAGACGCGTGGTGTCTTCATAGTGAGAGTTATCCAAGCATTATATACATGTATATTGTCTTTATTCGTATCTGTGTTGTGTGTGAGGGAAATACACACCTGGTAATCTCTCAGTCCCACCAGGATGATGTCTGACGTGTTAATCCAGACCTGGAGGAAACAAACAGATCAGAGATTACCCACCCGCTGTCACACTCTGCACTTTGTGACCCTCAATGGGTTCCATGCAGACACATTACGGGCGGCTCACTGACCACTGAGAACACACCGACTCAGCATCCCGTCAGGAGGTTTCCTGTGTGTGCTGGTCGGGGGAAAAGGTGCGAGAGGACTGTCGGGACATTCCTACCTTTTTTCGGAGTTTTCCTCTGATGTGACAGAGCCGCTTGGTTCCATCAAAGCACATGGCCTCCAGACGCCCGTTCCCCAACATCTTTATCACCTGAGCATACTCTGGAAGAGACGAGACAGAGGAGGGTCAAAGAAAATACACTAAAGAAAACAACCTTAAAATGAGAGATTACATGAACAAAGTTACTGTTCTATCAAGAATAACAAGCAGGCACTAAGTGATTATGGGATGGTATAGGTTTATCATATTGAGAAAAAAAACACTCGCAATAAGTCGTACATTTCAATTAAAATGTTCATAACTTTGATTATCCTTACCGACGAAACAAAAAAAGGCACAGAAAATTAAAAAATTGAGTATGGTCCCCAAAAAAAGGGTAGTATAAATGTTCCACACATTAAGCTCACTCTCCTGCCACCAGAGATTTTGGCAGCAGCGAGCACTGCAGACAATCTGAACACTGACTGCAGGGGGTTACTACCATCTAATGAGACGCTCAGTGACAACGTGCACAAAAAACCTTCACTGCTGAGTGTCTGTTTCAAGTTGGGCTAAGCATTCTTAATTGTAGTCAACTGAATATATAAGTTATGTTTTTATTATTTATTAGATGTAATCAGATTCCTCTAAACTGCTGCATTGTTGTTAAAGCTACACATGTGAAACTGAAAATTAACGACTAGTTTCATTAGTATACAATTGTGGCAGCCCGTCAGTTTAGAACACTTTTTTTTTGCTGAATGAATGACGGTTACACATTTTCATCTTCATTAACACTCAGTCAACCTACAACTCTGAGGTTTTCAGTCTATACGTTTATTTATTTTAATCAATTTCTTAAAGCCCGAGCTTAGGATTTCAAACTGCTTGTATTGTGCAACCAACGGCTTAAAATACTCAATATCATGGAGGAAAACCAAAACAAATTTGAGACACTGGAATCAGCCATTTGTTTTGCCCTTTTTGCAGAAAATCGATGATTAGATCATGTTTACATTTACAACACTTTTTCTGATTATAGACTAACGTCAAGGATTTACTCAGATGGGTGATTTCCCCTGTTTTTATCCGATGTAAATTACTAACAAGATTTATTGTATCTACCAACAGGGATAGTGACTTCAGTTACTGCAGTTGACCCATATTGAGTTATTCAGACCAAATGCGAACAGTTTAACTCTGTGTCCTGGATTTGCTTATAAGTCAAACCAAACACACATCCCCTGGCAAAAAGATGGACCTTTGGTGCCATTGTCCAGGAAGCAGCTGGCTCCAATAACCCCATCACCTGAAGAAACAGTACTCACCCTGTCCGTCCTCTTTGAACACCAGTTCTCTCTTCTCAGACTCATTTTCGTTCTTTCCACGTCGCCTATTCTTTCCTCCCTTTCCTAGGAACATAGAAAAAAAAAGATGGTTATTAATGTTATCCATTTATATAATACATTTTTTTTTCTCACTGAGGATGGGGAAAGTGTATCAGTTAGCTCTTAGGTACAGCTACTTCTCATACGTTTTATAAACACATTTTCTCCACAATCTCAAGTGGTTATTGTGATAAACACTAGTGTCAACACGGGTAAAATGTTACCTAGTACACACATTTAAAAGATAATTGTCTCTTTGTACACAACTACCAGTTAGAAGAGAATAATTAACATTACCCTCAACCGCACTAATCTGCCAGCTAGTGACTTAAAAAAAACTATGTTTACATCAAATATATCAGATATTATAGAGTATGATATTTCAGTTACAACGAAACTAATCTACTGTGTTTACACAAGGAAAGTTGAAACCTAAAGCAAATTAATCTGTTCTTGGTTAGAGAAAATAACCAGCAGATGAATCCATGATGAAAATAATCATTAGTTCATAATTAAAAATAAGCATTAGTAATAACAATCAGATGATATAAAATAGTAATATAACAGTACCAGGGGACAGGAAGAACAACGTTTAGGTTGCCTTGCTAGTAAACACATATAGGCGACATTCTAAAGACGTTAGATTGATCAAAGTAGTTTAAAATCCAGGAACAAAGATACCATGTTGGCGTTTTAGTTGTTTATTGTGAAATTAAAGTCGCAGCAGTCACAGGCCTCACCAGGGTGGGGTGAGCAACTAGCTACTTAGCTAGCAACGGTATTAAACTGCTAAGCACGTTAGCCATTAGCCGGCTGGCAGGCACAAAGTGTTTAACAACTTAATTTAGCCTAGACTAAATTCATCATTATCTCAGCCGAATGTATGTTTACATAGTTAGTTACACAGAGAAACTCGTGACATTTAATTAAAAATACTTATAGTTCCGTGTTAATAAAAGATAAAATAAAATGCATTAGAAAATCTTGATGCTAACTAGCGTTAGCTGGTCGGTGTCACGTTTTCACTGCGTGTCTTCACGGCGGACTCGACAGACAATCAACAATACAGACACACTATTCCTCCGTCTCTTACCTTTATTCTTGGGCATATTCTTTTAAGCCTTGGTCACGTTAATCCTGCTCGTAGAAACGACGTACAGTTAATAAACGAGAACTGTGTACAACAGTCAGTTCTAAATTGACTGAACCGTACCAAGAAACTAGCTTGTCACCGCTGATTCGCTCCGCCGGTTTGCGCATGCGCCTTCCAAGACATTCAAAACCACGTTGCTTTATTGTAAAAGGTGATTGTTACAGAGACAAACGCCTGCAGAACTCCCAAAAACTTGTTTAAAACTGTTTTTTAAAGTGACGTTGTCTGGTTCTTAACCAAATACACACAATTCACCATCAAATGAGGAAACAGATAGCCTGACACTTGGTCTAATTATTATTTTTCAATTCATTGTCTTTAAATTATAAAGGGCTACATTTAAAGTAATATTGACTTGTTAAATGCAGGTATTTTAATTATAACAAGAGTATTTCTACAGTGTGGTATTAATGCTGAATACTTCATCCACCAATGAATGATAATGACTTCCAACATGTATTTTTAATCAATATCAGATTCCCCTGCATTTAACAATAACTGTTCATTGCAACGATGTATCCCTCCGCGCCAGCAGGGGGAGGAACTCGCTGCGCTGAGCCTTTACTGTGTTTATTTCCCCAGAACAACATTTAACATTTTGCAGGAGCTGAGCTACGGGACTTTTTAACCCTCCTGCAACGCACACAGCTCAATTATCTCATGGTTTGTACATTTAGAAGTGCATTTCACCTCTGTGTTTTTGCATTAAAATAGCAAAGTGACGCAAAGTTATAAAAGGTGATATGTATTCGACTGTTAACTTGGAGTCACGTTAGCTAGCGTGTTGCTAAGCTAGCTGCAGTTTTGTTTTCAGCACAACGAAGTTTGTCTGTGATGGCTTTAGCAGGACAATGGTGAGTTAAAATGTATTTTATAGATAACATACATTTCGCCGCTTCTCTTTGTGGTAAATACAACTGGATATTATATGCGGCGTTTTCCATATTAGCAACAACGTACTGTGCTGAAGGCTACTTAAAGAGCAACTTGCAGAGTTTATTTTTTTACTGCATTTATGCTTAACCTTGCCTGAAAATTACAATAAAAAAAGTTAAGGCAGGATTTTACATGTTTTACGAGACATAAGGGCTGGAATTCAGAGGGGAAAGTAGCCGTTTTGAGCTCTGCTACTAACAACTTTTTTTAAACGTCATACGTCAAACGCGTCATAATACCTCACATAGGGGAGCAACCGCGCCCCGTTAGTAGTTGGTTTGAGCGGTTGTGATTTAGTGAGCTGGTATTTTTTCGGTAGTTTTACATCATGGTGAGCCATTGTGTTTGTGCTGGTTGCTCAAACTCCAGCTTGTCAGGATATCGAGTCCACAATTTCCCTAACAGGAAAAGGACCGCAGCTAGCTTTAGTTCCTGGGTGCGTTTTGTGCAGGCGAAGAGACGGGACTTCACTACCGCATCTGCGACGAAAAACGCGGTCGTTTGTGGCGCTCATTTTAGACAGGAGGATTATGAGGCAGGTGATCTGATGCAGTTCAGGATGGGATATCGAAGCCAGGACCGTGTGAGGCTGATAGCTAGTGCGGTTCCGTCTATACACCCAGCTTCTTTATCAGCTCCGGTAGCAGCAGCAGCAGCAGCCGGTGGCGGGAGTGATGGTCAAGGATCGGTCAGAAAATCTGAGGTACTTTACTTTGCAAAAGTACTTTACTTTGTAAAAGTACCTCAGAGTATTCTCTTGCAAATTATTTTTACATAGTTATTTTGTACTTTTTCTCTTCTACATTTGTTACCTAAAGATTAATGCGCACAAGACATAAACAAATATAACGTTTTTTATTAACTTGTTTATTTGTGTTCCATTATGGTTGTTTTGTACATAGATAGATAGATAGATATATAAAGGCTAGATGGCTCAAGGGGGAGTCGCCAGCGTAGCTCACCGGTGGCCATCTTGCCACTGTCAACAAACTGCTACAGCTGTTTTTAAAGGTGAGTGATCTGCACAAAAATACTCTTAACTCGCTTAAATCTTGACTGATTTACAAGCGGTTTGGTTTATTATAAACGTTGTTATCATGGCTATGATTCAGGAGACAACAAGACATGTTGAAAAAAAACTCCATGATTATAAGTATGCAGTATCATAACTACATCTTTGATGTTTATAACAAACCAAACCGTTTTAAAATTGGTTGAAAATTGAGCAAGCTATGGTTATTTCAATAGTGCACCATAGACACAATGTTATGAATGAGCGAGCTGCCTGTGGCAAGATGGCCGCCATGTGGCAACGTCGGTCTCCATTGGCCAGCAGCGCGGGTGAGTCATCTAGTGTTTATATATATCTATGGTTTTGTAGGTGTTTTCTGTTCTCTATTGTTTAGCTAAAGAAGGGAAGAAAGATGATAGTGTTGTGGCATATTATAATTTGTATCTTACATGTGTTTTTAAGCATTATATTCCATAACATAAACCTGCTCAGGTTTTCTAAATAACATTGGTATATAATTGAATCAATAGAAAGGAAAAGGTGATCATTTGAAATTGCATGAAAAAAACTGAAAACACAAAATGAAATATCTGATAAAAGTGAAAAATAGTTAACAATTTCCCAAAAATTAAAGACGGACATCTTTTAAAAATGTTTGTTTCAAACCCAAAGGTACTCAGAATAAAACCAGAACACATTCACATTTAAGATGCTGTAACCAGTGACTTTACTTCACCTCTTTAAAAAAAGGATTGATTCAGATGTTAATTCATCACCAAATAGTTGCACAATATTTTCCTGTTGATCAACATAGTTAGAAAACATAATGCATGATCTGTTGGATATGAGTTCATCTGTTGCCTGAAAACATAATAATGTATCTATTTTTCCCATGTTTAGATGTCTTCTGAACACCCTGCGGTTGCGGGTGGGCTTGCAGGAAAGTCCACTTCGTCCTCTGGGGTGAAAGGAAACATAAATTGGGACTGTGACAGCAGCTTGGATCAGATCACGGTTGTGAGGATCGACGACACACACATCGCGGAGGATAAAGACTCCGTGGCGTGCTACGATGTGGAGTACTCCATTCCCACTGAGGAGGAGGCTAACGACGAGGACGACGGCGTCTACGTCATTGAGTACTCAAACCCCGAAGAGGAGGGAGAGAGCTACCAGTTCACCATGTCTGTGGATCAACCACTGCCCACCAAAAAGCAGATAGTTACACATGCTGCGGCGAGAGAGAGCGTGATGTCCAAACCCTCTAGACCTCAGAGGCTGCGGCGGAAGAGGGACCTAGAGGAGGAGGAGGAGGAGGTGGTGAGTAATAAGTGTTTGCTTGAGCTTGGGGAGGACTACAGGGACATTATGAGGATGAACTCTGATAAAGAGCAGCTGGTGTGCAAGCTCTGCCCGTCACCCGGACGCTTTTTCAAGAAAGCTGCCGGTCTGGCCGTGCATCTGAGACACACGCACCAGTTTGGGGGGAGGACGTACTTCTGCACCACCTGCCAGCGGTCGGTCCGCACTCAGTCGGATCTGGATTCACACACCAAACGCCACGCCAATCAGGAAGCTGTGTTCACCTGCCTGCTCTGCAAGGCGCAGGAGGGCAAGGCGGGGTACACAGGGGCCAAGCTCGGTCTGAAGAGACACCTGGAGCAGGAGCACCCGGGCGTCGTGCCGCGTTGCGACATCTGCAACAAAGGCTTCCTGTCGCTCACGTCCTACCTGGCCGATCAGTTCAGGCACGTCGGAGTGTCGCCGTACTACTGCGCCCGCTGTCAGATCTACGAGATGACAGAGCGGGGTCTGAGTGTCCACATCAGGAACGACAACATGAGGGAGAAGAAGCTGCAGGAGTCTCGGAACAACCTGCTGGAGCCTGAAAGCAACCTGAGGGAACTCGGAGTCTCCGTCAGCGACGATAACTCCGCCACAGACGACTCTGACTTCTGACTCTATTTGTTTTATTTCCCTCAGTGTTTGAGGACTAAAGCAGCACAAGCTTAGCCACCTTTCTTCATGCATCTTTAACAGCTGTGAATTGATATTTTGGAAACAGTTGTTTTGTTTTTTATTTTCGAATAAAAGAGATAGTTTGACATTTTGGAATCTATGCTTATTCTTTTTATTGCCAGAAGATATTACTTATTAATATCTTCTGGCAACTATGGACAACATGTCTTTGGGTTATTTTTCTAAATTGGCAAAGCTTAAGGATCATCAGTGTCACAATGCAGTTTTTAAGACAGGGTCTAGCTTAAGCTCTATTTGAAAGAATAATTTGACACTTTGGGATCTACGCTTCATTTCAAACCTTTATTTATACAGATAAATCCCATTGAGATCATTGATCTCTTTTTCAAGGGAGACCTGCTCAAGTAGTTCCACATGAAACATAAATAGAACAACAAAAGGACATCATACAGTATCATTTACATAATTATCCACATAAACAGGTACCAATAGCTTCCGATTGAGTAGCATCCAACCGAGCTTTAAAAACATTTAGTGGCACTAGATTGTTCAGTTTCCATTTAATTTGCAGACTATTCCAAGACAGGAGCTGCGCATCTAAAAGCTGTCTTCCCTAAGACAGTCCTAGCAGTTGGCACATTTAATAAAACCACAGCATTTGATCTCAGGCAGTAGCCACTTAAAATTTTCCGTGAGATCAGGGAGCAGATATAAGATGGAAGTTTCCCTAACATGGCTTTGTATATAAAAATGTACCAGTGACTGAGCCTCCGTACAGTTAGTGAAAGCAAACCAGCCCTTGCATACAGGGTACAGTGATGGGTTAATGCTTTACGGTTTGTCACAAATCTCAGTGCACTGTGATAGGCGGCATCTAACTTGACCAGGCAATTGGCAGGTGCAGGTGTACGCTTGATTGCTTACTTGCTAAGAATCCAATGAAGAGGTTCATATCCCTCCCGGATATGACTTACTTTCATATATTAATTATTTCGTTGATTAATTGCTGAAGAAATGAAAAAAATACCTTAATAAAGGTCACCTATTATGCAAAATCCACTTGTCCATGTCTTTTATACATAAACGTGTCCCCTGTTTCAGATTCGGAAAGTTTCAGGAAAAAATATTCAATCACTCTTTGTCCTGATCCATTTATATAAAAACGGAAAATGAGCTGATCCGATTTTGGCCACTTTATGATGTCATAGCGATTCTTTTGGCTTGTGTAACCATTAGCCAATCACCAACCAAGGTAACCCCAGGGCTGAAACAGAGGGGATTATGGGATGCTGCAATGATCTGTTGGGTATTTGGAGCCAAACACTTCAGAGACATGTTTTGTATATATCTGAGACCTATAATAGATTGAGGAGAAACGGTATAATAGGGGACCTTTAAAGTTTTGTGGTTTTGTTTGACCAAGTTATATGATATGTAATGATATTAAACAATCTTTACATTTGAGAAGCTGAATCCAGATCACTTTTGGTGATACAGCAATAAATCAATTGTAAAAGAAGCTGGTGTTAATGCTGTATTTGAGTTGATGCATGTATATTCTGTGATACTCAGCAGCGTTCGAGCTACAGGAGAAGTATTATTATATTATAGTAAACATTATTTGTATGCTGATTTAATAGAAATGAACTGAAACGGCAGTAGAGCTCATAATTTGTAATAAATGGGACTGAAAATAAAAAAGCTATGATCCAGATTGTGTCCTTTTTACAAAAAAGCTTTATTTTTGAGCACAGTGGATTTAAACATGAATGACTTGAAATTAAAATGGAAGTAAAAAAGGAATTAAACAACAAGATTTGACACATTAAAGACAAACAAATATTTTAAACATTTTAAAAGGGGATGTTTTCTTTCTTTTTGGAAATGCAAAATAGTAAATGTAATTACATCTTGGTAATTTGTTAGTTAAAAATATAATTTTTTCACATTAAAATAAAAGACCACTTGTTAGCAATCAGCGTTATTTCACTCACCATAATGCTTCGTTTGTAAGCACCGAATATGTTTTAGAAAAATCTGTAATATCAAATTGACATTAGTTTTCAGTGTCATCTTGCATAAAACCACTTAAAGGTGGGGTAGGTAATTCACTTCAGAAACACTTGTTATATTCCATGGAATGCTCTTAACATCCCGATAGCAATAAATACATTAAATGCTTTGACAATAAATACATAAAACGTCATCTGTGGAAGCCGTGGCGCTGTAAAAAGCACGACCAATCATCTGAGCCGGCCCGGCTAAAATAACTGGATGGCCTACCTGCCTGTCCAACTCAGTCTCACGGCATTTCGTGTTCACCAACACGATTTTTAATCTATTGATTCGTGTTCACCAACACGATTTGCCTCTTTTTTTCGTGTTGCACAGCACGATTTTAAAAGCAATGTATTTCTACTGCCTGCAGCACGTCTTTTTCTCCGGTCGGAACGAGGAAGACCGGAAGCTGTGTGGTTCATAAAAACATGTTCTTACCATAGACTGTATATATAAATGGACGTAGGGTCCGTGACGTCACCCATAGGATTCTGCAGAGTTGCCGTGAAGCCCTTAGTAGGCGGAGTCGGCCACTAACGGCTCGACGGTGTCGTCAGAGTCTAACTCCCGCCTTCTCCAAATAAGGGCAAAGAGGCGGAGCCATGGCGGGACCTGCTGCCAACGAGCGTGACGTTCGAGTCCTAGCTCAGGCTAAGAAGCTAAGCTAACATGCTCTCAGTATCAATCGAATGTAAAACATGATTGATGAAAGTAGTAAATCGGTCAGATTTAACCCGAAGACAACAGGAAGGTTAATGCCATATTCACTTAGTAACGCATGAACTATAAAAATATTTCTATATAGTCTGTGTTGGTAAATGTCATCTAGGTTGCACATTTCCTGCTGAAATACATGCATACCAAGTCACTGCGTGGCACTTTGGTTTTGATAAAACAGTGTAGTTCCACAATATAAACGTTACATTCATAATCAAACGAGACAATCTGCAAGATAATTAGCTATTTGGTATTATTCTTAATGCTTGTGAATACACGTTAATAAAATAAGTACCGATACATAGCAGAATAATTGTGGCGGTGTTCAGCTTAATAAGCCTTGCTCAGCATCATTTATTTAGCTAATACTACAGCGGGCTGCAGGCGAACCAAGTCCGCGTTACGATGCATTCCTTGATCTCCAGTTATAACGCCGGACTCCGCCGCTGGCCGAAGCTAACGGAGCCCCAGGGTGCTAGCTACGGCCGCCGGGACGCGCTAGCGAGCTAGCACCCTGCAGCCCCGTTAGCTTCGGCGGCGTGGACTCCGGCGGCCCACCCCTTTTAACATTTGCTCCCGTTTAGCATTATGGGCGTCATAGCCATATAGTATAACAGTCTTACCCAAGGCTGAATCATAAACTAAACTGTATATATGTATAAAGGGTTACGTCCTTAGCTGGCTAATAAGCTACATAACAGGCTAAGCTAACAAGCACACAAACACCTGCTAACGGGGTTAACATGTATAATATTATCATTTTACTTACCGAAAAAAAGCTGAAAGTAGACTTCTTGGAAGATCTGTTAGTACATTCAAGCGCACAGCACGACATTTTAATTATCTAGTATTTGTAACAATATTCCCTAACAGGCACGATCACCACGAACACAGCTAAAGGATCAAGTACAGTAACTACAACTAACTAACGTTGTAGCCTCTATGGTTGTAGCCTAGCAGATTGGACAAGTTGCTGTTAGCTGACAGTGAGCCACGTATCTGTCAATCAAAGTGACCACGCCCTAATGTATGCACAAACTTTAAGACCTAATATAAATATAAAGGGTCGCGTTAGAAAACAATTCACTCACAGATCCATAATCATGAAGGTGGAATCTAACTATATCGATAATAAAATGTATGGAGCCAGGGGTAGAAACATGTTTTTTTCTGCTGTAAAATCGGGCATTTTAACATGGGGGTCTATGGAAATTGCTCCTTTCTGCAGCCATCGCCTATCGGCCAATATATGAACTGCAGTGTGTGGCACTTCCGTATTGGCTTCCCGGCTCTACCCCACAGTTTGCCGCTTGGTTCTTACTCAATATCAAGCCACAGTTATTGCTTTTATTTGAAATCGTATAATTTCGGACTTTTGTTGCCGTCTGTGAGGAAAATAAATGGGGCTCAGAATACTGAAATCTGTATTTTTAAATATTTTTTCCTTCTAATTTGATATTCTTTTCAAAATAACACACTGTTATTTACTCACCAATAACACACAATTATCCTTGCTTTTATTTATTGGTTTAATTCCATAATCTCGGGCTTTTTTGGCGTCCGTCAGGAACTGAATTTCAAAATAAAAATAACCGGAAACAGACGTAGGCCTATAAGGGACATTTCAAGCATCATTGCGATTGTCAACATTTCTGAGTTTAGGATGGCCGAAGACTATGGAAGCAAACAAGAGAGAAGTATTTGAATTTTATTAGACACCGAATTTATAGCATTGAAAATAATTACTTTGAAAATCATGTCTCTGAATGTTTTTGCTCCGAATTTACTTATGTGAAATAAAAATGTAAAAATTCAAGTGAAAACAATTCGAATGTTCAAATTCAGATCCCAAAAATTCGACGTCAAAAAATTCGGTGTATAAAATTCGATGTCCAAAATTGCGATGCAGCATCATCCGGGCTACTCAGACAGGATAAGCAATCGAGCCCAATGCAATCAAACTGACTTGGCCTATCAGAGCACGGCTTTGTCAGTCATGTGATCACAACAACCCGGGATAAAAATGACGGAGAGCAGCGGGGCTCGCCACTCGGGTAAGTAGTCAGTTTGTGCTCTTTATCTTACAAGCAGTGAGGGCTCGACAGCATTTGTATCTTACATTAGCTAAATGAGTGAAGTAGCCTTGTGCCTTGCAAGCAAGCTCCGTAGTTATCATTAATTGAAGTGAATCACAACGTTACCGTGTCCTTTTGTGTGTGTGTGTGTGGGGGGGGGACGGGACGGTTTGCAAAGTAACGTAACGATCACTTCGGTTAGATAAGTCAAGTAGACCATGCTACACTATACGAAATACTCTCTTACAAAAGCCCTGCATTTAAACATGTTAATGTT